CCCGAAAAAACCCACAAAAAAACAATGGATGCCGGCCATGAAAGCCTATGCCTTCACATTGAAATATTGTTAATATCCTAATTTATTTTGATTTTTCTGACATGGCAATTTTGTTTTTGTTTTTGTTTTCCTAATTTATTCTGATTAATTTTTTACATCAGATATTTTCCGGTTTTAAACATGGGCTCACTTGCATTGTAGATATCCTCCTATGTTATATTTAGGATAGTTGGATTGGTACCAATGACACTTAAAGATATGGGCCAGAACTCTATCAGTGCCTTACCCCAGTTTTAACAAACCGTTACACTGGCTTTGGCACCTTTGGGAGCAGTTCAGAGTGGCAGCAGGAAGACTGGCAGCAAAAGCCATCTCCATAGCCAAAGAAAGCTGTCTTGCCAGCTCCCAAGCAACCTAGGAGATGGCAAAGCAACTTTCTCTCCTAACAGAGGCAGATTTTTTTAGCTATCTCCACAAATCCATCATTGCAGCATTTCTGGGCCATTTTACCTACCTTGCTATGGTACCTACACCATCACCACTACCTACACCAGACACAGTTACACCAGCCAATAAGATTGCAGCCAAGGTTTCATGCATCTTTTTAAAGACATAAAGAAGAAACAGGAAAGATTTTCCATAGTCATGTAGCCAACTGTAGTTAAGAAAAACTGGGGTAGGAGGAGAAACATATATATATATATATATATATATATATATTAAAAATTAAAAAGCCAACCCTCAAAAAGAAAAGGCAGAAATATAAGCACAAATCCTCCACGTTCCAACAGAAAAAGGTGGGATAAACTCATAGGTGGGTTAAAATTTTAATGTGAAGAAAAATACATGTATAGGGTTGTTAATTCCTTACCTCTAAATCAGGGGTAGGCAACCTTTTTGAGCCAGGGGCCGGGTTGCTGTCCCTCAGACAATTGGTGGGCCGAAGCACCAAAAAATAATTAATTAATTAAATATTTTAAAAAAATTAAAAAATATATGCATGCACACTCTCTCAGCCCTAGAAAAGCCATGGCAAAACCCCTGTGGAGATTTTGCCAAGAAAACCCCAAGAACAAGTAATAACAACAATAATCAATATCATCATGGTGGGGGGGGCGGCAGGACTGGCCTGGGGCCGGTCCAAAGGCCTCGGGGGGGGCGCATCCGGCCCCCAGGCCTTAGGTTGCCTACCCCTGCTCTAAATGATCCAAGGAACAAGAATCATGGAGAGAGTAGGTACCGTCCTGCCCATATTTTAATTCCTGTACATCTGCAAAAGGCTTTATGATGTGAACAGAGACAATCTGGCTCAAACCTCATATCATATGCAACCCCAAAATAGTTTGCATTGACCTCCAATGAAGAGGAGAGCGTTATAACAATTCACGTGTGACATTTTACATTGATATTGACTGTGCTAGCAATGCATAATAAAGAAATGAAACCTAAATGCCTTTCCCAAAGCATTTATTTATTTAAGATACCACCTTTCTTCCAACATGGGACCCAGAGTAGGTCACATATACTGTATATCCCAGACTAGCAGTACAGTTAATTCCACATATATTTTAAAGCAGCTTTCCCAGTCACAACTGCATAGACCTCATGAGATATATGTTCAATAGTGTTGAGAATGGCATAGCCGCCCAGATATTGTTGAAGCACAATCCCTGGTATTCCTTCCCTTTGGCTATGCTGGTGAGGGCTGCTGAGAGTTGCAGTCCAACATTTGGAAGGTCACATGATCCTCCCCCTTATCTATAAGAAGAAAACTAATAAACTCCCAATCCACAGGTAAATTCTGATTTTCCCACCACTATCACACCCTCAATATTGGTACAACCAAGGTTCATAGTGTGATGTCAGCCATCTTAACCCTTCCCAGAATGTGACCCTTTTCTCCTACTCCCACCTACAAGAGACAGACAAATACTGCTATTTACTTATAGATTTTCCTCCCATGCTGTAAGATGAGGAGGAGAATCTTTGACTTGCCACTCTGATTTCAACTCTCATATGCCCCAACCAGCATGGCCAATGGTAAAGGACTATGGGAGTTGTAGTCTAAAATATTTGGTGAGCCAAATATTTTTCACCTCTGCTTTAGGACTGCTGTATTATAGAGAGGTACAGATAGTAAAACATCTGCAGGAGGTTATTGAAGTCCCAGCAGTCTAGAAGTTATGCAATACTGCTGGAAGACAGACAGCACTTGCCTTTTTTCTCTCTCTCTCTCTCTCTCTCTTTCTTTCCTTGAGACCCCAAACATAAGAAACAATGCAGTCACAAGCTGGAAGAAGGAACTGTTCACTTTCTGCTTAACTGTTCTTCCATATGAAGTTGCCTCATAGCAAGGCAGCCCAGTGTGTGTTTAGGAGGCTGAACAGCTGTCAGGTGAACTATTTATTTTTCATTCAGTTCTTTGTGTGGTTGCCAAATAAACAAGTGAAGATGGAGAGGGAAAGTGAGAAAGGAGAAATATTTTTAGTACACATGCAAGACAAAAATATCTGTCCGGGAAATATTTAAATCACCTCATTTGGCATCAAGCAAAACAAAAAAAGTGAATTATGTTGACATTTTCAGGGATAAACAGTTGGTCTTTCTTGCATATTGCTCTTCTCACAGCCACAGTGCTGCCAGGACAAGGGGAGATGAGGAGAGGCCTGGTTAGTATCTGGAAGGGAGGCCACCAGGGAATTCCTAGTGTCGGAAGCAATAGTCAGAGAGAAGCAATAGTAAACCTCCTCTTAAGTATTCATTTACCTTCTTTTCTTTTCTTTTTAAGTGAAATTCATGTAGTCACTGTAAGTCCACAGGTGACTTGAAGGCATATTCTGCTACTAATGTGCCTTCAAGTCATTTCCACCTTATGGCAACCCTAAGGTGAACCTATCACAGGGTTTTCTTGGCAAGTTTCTTCATAGGGGGTTTGCCATTGCCATCCTCTGAGACTGAGAGCATGGGACTTGCCCAAGGTCACTCAGTATGTTTACATGGCCAAGCCAGGATTTGAACCTTGGTCTCCAGAGTCCTAGTCCAGCGCTGAAACCACTATAACACACTGGCTCTGCTACTACTAATGTCATATAAGGCAGTTTCTGTGTTCCTATGGGACACAACAAGGATCTCAGGAGAAGGTCATAGGTAGTGGCCTTAGAAGGCCAGGTATGTAGAGAGGATGAGTGCTGAGGTAACTGTACATCACTGTAATTATTGGCAAGGGAGAATTTATGGGGTTGCTCTGATGTGAACTGAGTCCAGAGCAGAGAGTTCAGAAATTCAGTGCAGCTAAAGGAAAACATGGAAACAACCTGCAAGGGTAAGCACGCTTGGGGAGAGCCTGTAGGATGGACTGATAAATGGGTCGATAGCTGGATAGCCAAGCTAAAGAAAATGGAAAAGTCCTGAAAGTCTTGACAGCAACAGAACAAAAACTGGGATTTAGAGCCCAGCAAGAAACCAGACTCCAAGGCTCTATTTTAATGGATTAAAAAGTACTTAATGATTAACCTTCATTAGACAAATGGGACATTTTAGTATTCCAGGGTCATGTTTTATTCCAAAATTCATGCAGAACTAGACCTGCACAGTAGGCATTTTACAACACAGTCACCTTAAGTGTTGTAATCAATCCTCAAGGTGCTACCACCTGCAATCTCAAGCTGACAGCGATGACAATGAAGATGATGGTGATGATGCTCTGGTGGCGCAGTGATTAAATGCTGATACTGCAGTCACAGCATTGTGAATTCAGTCCCGGGGCTCCAAGACTGACTCAGCCCTCTGTCTTTTTCTAGGTTGGTAAAATGAGTATCCAGCTTGTTGAGGGCAATTGGCTTAAAGACTGTAAACTGCATAGAGAGTGCTCAGTTCACTGAGAAGCGGTATAGAAATGTAAATGCTATTGCTATGATGATACAAACAACTAATCCGAGCGAAAGAGAGTTAATGTACAGTAATAGCTTTACAGGAAGGCAATTGTGTTGATAATACAGTTAATACCAGAAGCCCCTATGATGGCTGCTAATGAATAAATCATGACAGAAATTGTAAGTGCATGTGTCTAACATACTTTTACCTGAAGAAAAAAAATATAGTAACATGGAAAAGATTTGGAGGTGTAAATCAGTTCTGTGTCCTGATGTATGTGTGCATTTAACAAGGAGGGAAGGAGGCACACGTACAAACACAAATGCATGCTTGCGTACTTACAGTATGGTTTCTGTGAAGGCCTCCTAGTAACCACAGGATGCTGTACATTTCTCTGATCACCCACAAAAAGAGAGGAAATTATTTCTGTACTGATAAAGAGTGGGGAGGGACAAAAGCCATGTATGATGTCCTGAGCTCACTGGAGTTTTTTTTTAAAGGATATTCATTGGTGGTGGTGCTATTCCCATAAACAGTTGAATTGCTGGCAGTAACCATTATAAATAAATCTTTAGGTTCTTATGAAGACATTCAAGTTTGTTTGGCTTAATTCTTCTGTGTTCTTGTTTCTTCCCTAGCTATTTTTTTATTTCTGTTTTATGTTCTTTATTTGTTTGTTTGTTTGTTTGTTTCATTTATATCCCACTTTTCTCCCAAATGAGACTTAAAGAGGCTTAGAATGTAAATTAAAACAGACTATTTAAAACATATATGGAGTTGTTGCTTTTGTTGAGTGCCCTCACGTTGTTTCCAACTTATGGCAATCCTAAAGTAAATCCATCATTGGTTTTGTTGTCAAGATTTTCAGGAGTTTGCCATTGCCTTCCTCTGAGGCAGAAAATGTGTGACTTGCCCAAGCTCACCCAGTGAGTTTCCATGGCCATGTGGGGATTTGAACCCTGGTCTCAAGAGCCCTAGTCCAACACTCAAACTGCTATACCACACTGGCTCTCAAAATATAGAGTACATTTTTTAAAAAAACCTTTAAATTATATGGGCTTTTCAAGACCAATTGTAATGGGTTGCCCCAGCCCATATGGAGTACATCTTAGGCAAAACTTTTATGGAGCAGAAGTTCACTCTTTGGGCTAACTGGATCCTGCATAGGGAGAAAGACATGATATAAATCAAATCAAATAAATACATAAATAAATAGCTGCATATTATATTTCAGCAGAATCCTGCACCTTCTCTTCTCGTCATTTATAATAGAGATCAACACCAACAACTTCAGAAAACTGCAATATCAGGGTGACATACCCGCAAAGGAGGACAAGGCACTGCAAAATGTAGGACAGTACCAAACAAAAGGTAAAAACACTAATATAAATAGAAATTTGTGCTTCTCAGTCATGCTCAAAATGTAGGACATTTTGAAATTTCTCCTGGACAGAAGCTTGAAATGTAGGACATGTCCTGGAAAAGGAGGATGCCTGGTCATTCTGCCGCAACATCCAAAAGTATATGATTCCAGACATGTGGCAGATAGACACAAACTACTAGCTCTAGCTGGAAGACAGCAACCAGCATTTTTTCCCTAAATCTGACAAATGCTACTTGTTCAGAGAAAAATCCAGCAGGTGGCAATAGTGCACTATAACTTTTGCAGGCCACAGAAATAGCACCTTGGCACTGATATCTCAGTGCTTTTTCAGTATTGTTACTCATGTGACTTCATGAGGGCTGTCAGCCTGTCAGCTTATTCACCAGAGGGCAACTGATGTGAATCACTCTAGGCTTGGACACAAACAAGTGTATGTCTATGTGTTATTATGTGTGCATTTGCGTACGTGCATCACCTGCAAATTCTGAGTTAAAATAGCCATCACCCTTCGATCTCCACAAATATTTTCTAATGAGCCCTTTGAAACCTCTGCCTTTATGAACTGAATATGCTGTCATTCCTTTCCCCGCATATTAATATCACACAGAGAGACATCGGCTCTTCAGCAAGGCCAAATCAGTGACACCCACCAGCTTCCACAGCAACCTTTCACTGAGCACCATCAGGACGTGGGCCATAGGGGATAAAACTGGTCAGGGAACTAGCTAAGCTGCAGAAGCTATTTCAGGGTGACATAGCCTTCCTTGAGATGACAAGCAGAGCCAAGATGTCCCTGGGGAGCAAAGCAAATCCAAAATCAGCTTTTGGATTTGGCTTTATTTTTTTAATTATCAGGGATGCATGCAGGACTTTCATTTTAACACACATGTTTACTTTCCTCATTTTTCAGGGAAGCTTCACATTTTCAGTTCCCCCCCCCCCTAAAAAAAAATCTACAAATAAACAGGATATTTACATCAAATCCCATCTCCAGGGACCCTTTCACCCTGCACATTTATACATAATACTATGATTTCATCTTAGGTGCCATGGTTCCATCCTATGGAGTTATGGGACTGGCAGTTTCAGCAGGGACTTTTAGAATTCTGGGAATTGTAGTTTATTGTGGCACCAGAGCTCTCTGACAGAGAAGACTAAATGTCTCACAATTCCCTGAATTCCATAGCATTGAGCCATGGAATTAAAAGTGGGGTCAAATTGAGTTATTTCTACAGTGCAGATGCAGCCTTGATCCTGTTGGACCTCCTTGATGACTTTTGATACCATTTGCCAAGGGATTCCACCATATGTTTTAAAATAAACAGTGGTGGCCCAAGTATTCTCCTTGCCCAAGGCAGGAGAAAAAGTACCACTGCTGTCCCTATGCTGCCTTCCATCTCGGCCCTGTGAAAAAGAAGAGGGGGTCCTTTCACACTACACAACTATAGCACTGTGATTCCACTTTGACTGTTATGGTTGCATCCTGTGGAATCCTGGGGTCTGTAATTTGAGAAGTCACTAGAGGAGCCCCTCTGGATGAGAATTCTAAGTATCCCTCCCTGAACTGCAAATCCTAGAATTTGCATTGGTCCAACTATGTGACCTTGATCTCAGCTATGGGGACCCATCTTTCCTTAATCTTTGAAGCCCTGGAAGGTCTCACAGGCCTGGTGATGCTTCAGATTAGAGACAATTCCTGGGTGTGCGATTGCACCATGGAGCCACTGCTGAAGTGGATGAGAAATAGGATCCAACAGTGCATGTCAGGTAGGTGAAATTCAATGACAGTTCATTTCTTAGCTTCAGATTTGGGATTTATTTCCCTTACATCTTAGTCGTTACATCTCCATTTAAGTGAAAGCCACAAGTCTCTCAGGAAGATACTATGAGACTAAGGTTCATCCACACTACACAATTATGCAACAGCATTAAAACCACCCCAACCCCTTGCTTGCTAACAGGGAGCTCAGGCAGGGAGAAAGAGACCTCAGTGATGGCGGCAGCATCAGCCCTGGTGGCGCAGTGGTTAAATGCCTGTACTGCAGCCACTCACTCATAAACCACAAGGTTGCGAGTTCAATACCAGCCAGGGCTGAGGCTCGACTCAGGCCTGCATCCTTCTGAGGTCGCTAAAATGAGTACCCAGATTGTTGGGGGGCAATCAGCTCACAGTTGTAAACCGCTTAGACATCCCATGCGCGATATGAAGCGGTATATAAATAAGCTGCTTTGCTTTGCTTTGCATTAAAACCACCCCAACCTCTGTCTTGCTAACAGCTGACCCATAGGAAACTCAGGCAACAGCAGCAGCACCCTCTAAACCACCCTACCAACAGTGGGGAAGGATTGCTGACAATTTGCTCATTTGTTTATTTGATCACCTGTTTACTTCACCAGTTGTCATTTTATAAGGGTTATTATTTCAAACAATAGAAAGAACAATATCAAGTGACAGTATTAGGTGACAACAGTTTTGACTATCTATGTGACATTAATCAGACTTGACTAAGGCCACTCAAAACTATTGACATTGATCACCACTAGTGGACTGAAGGCCAATTGCGGCTTTAGGAACGAAACAGATAAGAGGAAATTCGACTTGTTTACTTGAATGGTAGGCTATCACCGAATTATCTGAACATTTTGAATAGTTCTTACATTTTATCTAGGCAATGTTAGAGTTCACTGTTTGCTATAGCATACTTGTCTTCTCTGCTGTCAATCTTTTTGCTGCTGATCTTCATCTTGTTACCTCTTTCTCTCTTATGACTCCTGCTCTTCATTCTAATTTAGTATCTATCAGATGCCTTCC